GATCCGTTTCTCGCCAGAGTCCACTCCACGAAGGCAGCGAATTCTGCTCGAAGACCATCTTCGGACGATGGCGCTCTGCTCGCGGTGTTCAGGCTAGCATCATAGAACGCGCAGAGCGCGTCGTCCGGGTAGCTGGAAAGTTCGGCGAGGGCCAGAAACAGTCTGGTATGGTCCTCGAGCGAGCGCTCCCCCTGCTCCAGCAGGAGGAGGAGGAATTCGGGGCGAAGGAGGGGATCCATAGAAACAACAGGAACAAAAGAAAACACTGAGGAAAAAACGGAAACAACTGTACTTGGTCAGGTCTTCTGTCACGTCACGCTGTTGTGGGAAGAACATAGGAGACACGGAGTAGCATTCACAGTCTTTAATGACGAAAACACGGGATAATCCACAAACTTAAGTACACAGGGAAATGAGGATAATTAACTAAACACAGCTGGAAACAAATGATGAACTAATAAGGGAACCTAATGGAAACAGGAAGGACCAAATAAAGAAACAGAAACAGGGGCAAAACATGACACAGACAGTCCATGATCCTGACAATCACTGGTTTTGCGGTAGTATTTATTATTTTTAAGTTGAATTATGTCAGTTAAGTATGTTTAACGGTATGAAGACAGGTTATGAAAATAATAGGTTATTGAAATATTTGCAATATAATTTGGATGGAAAAACTAAAACTAATTAATTTATGCTCCTTTTTATTTTAATTTAGTTCAATTAGGAGTCATAAAAATTGTTTAGTTTAAAATGTAGCCAAATATAAAACATGCACATGCACAAACATGCACAACACAGCATTTAATATGATATGCAACAATCATGAGTAACTGATCGATTGATTTCTTATCATTTATACGTGTTAATGAAGTGAACTGTAACATTTAAGACTTTTACAGTATACTCTGGATCAAACTCATTTTTTGCACATTTGTATTTTATTTTAGTTCATTTTGAGTCATGGAAATGTATTTTAGTTTTTCTAATCATGTTAGGGTTCAGTCAACAAGAATGTTTTCATTTAAATTTTCTAATAATGTTAAAAACTGTAATTCAGACTGGATACACAAAAACACAACCGCATCCATCACAGCACCTGATCTGATCATGACTGATGGACTTTTCTTATTGTTTATATACGTTTGAAGTAATAAAGAGGGCAACACATTTGAAACAGTTACAGTGTACTGTGGATCAATAGCTAAAGCTAATTTATGCTCATTTCTATTGATTGCGTTCCATCCAGAGTAAGAAGCGTTTTGAGAAGGAATGGAGAGAAGCAGAGAAGGCCAATCAGCAGACAGAGAAAGTCCAGCTGGATGCAAACGCCACGAAAGCAGACATGGAGAAGGTACAGACTCCTTCAACACGCATACTTACACTTCATGCATCATGGGTAACAGACGCTGTGTGTGTGTGCGTGTGTGTGTTTAGGCCAAACAGCACACTCACCTCCGCGTGCACTTAGCCGACGAGTGTAAGAACGATTACGCTTCACAGCTGCAGAAATACAACAAGGAACAGAACAACTTCTACCACTCAGAGATCCTGTCTGTGTATAAGGTGCGTCATGGTCTGCTTTCATCAGCGAGATCATCAGCCTGACTGGAATATTATGAGCTCCACTTCCTGTCTGTCTGTCTGTCGCTCACAGAAGCTGCAGGAAATGGAGGAGCGGCGCATCAGATTGTTAGCCGACGGTTACGTGCAGTTCTCTGAAACAGAGAAGAACGTCCTGCCCAACATCATCAAGTGTTTGGACGCCATCAGCTCCACCGGGAGGAACATCAATGAGAAACAAGTGTGTATACACACACACACACACACACATACTCACACACACACACACACACACACACACATACTCACACACACACACACACACACACACACATACTCACACACA